ATTGAGTACAGCCCAGTCAAAAAAGACCTGGGGATACTGGCAGATGGGAAGCTGAACATGAGAGAGCAGCGTGACCTTGCAGCACAGAAAGCCAAATGTATAGCGGGCTGCATCAAAAGATGCGTGACCAGCAGGTCGATGGAGGCGATCCTGCTCCTCTATTCTGTGCAGGTGAGGGCTTACCTGGAGTACTGCATCCAAATGTGGAGTCCTCAGTACAAAAGAGACATGGACGTCATGGAGTGCGTCTAGAGGAGAGCCACAAAAATGATGGAACACCTCTCCTACGAGGACAGGCTGACAGAGCTGGGGCTGTTCAGTGTTCTCTGGAGAAGAGAAGGCTGGGAGGTGACCTGATAGTGGCCTTTCAATATCTAAAGGGGAGCTACAGGAAAGAAGCAGATAGACTCTTTAGCAGGATCTGTTGTGACAAAACAAGGGGAAATGGATACAAGCTCGAAGAAGGTAGATTTAGATTGGGTTCAAGGAAAAGGTCTTTTACACTGAGGGTGGGAAGACGGAAGAACAGGTTGCTCAGAGATGTGGTTGATGCCCCATCCCTGAAGACTTACAAGGCAAGGCTGGATCAAGCCCTGGACAACCTGATCTAGCTGTGCATGTTCCTGTTCATTGCAGGGAATTTGGACTAGATGACCTTTAAAGGTCTCTTCTAACTCTACGTTCTATGATTATACAATCTCTCCTTTTTACTTTATGTAATGTGATGTTACATACAGTCTGAATGAAATAGCTATAGTAATTGAGAAAAACTAACCACCTACAGTCCAATTCACTAAGGCGACACAACACAGAGCACTAATGTAAAATTACAGGCAAATACACTAAGCCATCACTGTGGCCTACTAAATGAAATCGTAAGTGCTCATGTTGTAATAGAAGCACACAGAGATGAAAATCTTTAAAAGTGTTTTAAATAGAGGGGGCAACAAGTCTCCAGAATGTAAATCAATTTCATTTTTAATAGCAAAATATTTTTCCATTAAGCAATTAATAAGCTCACACAGAAGTAAGCTCTATGAAAAAGATTCAAAGAATGTTCTGGCACAAGCTTAAACTCGAAAGCACATAATTGGAAAAAAAAACACCATATTTTTTAATCTTTGATCAGGCATGGCACCTGATCAGTTTGTATTAATGAAACTGTTAACACTATAAACTTGTTTCTACTCCTGTAGTCACCTGTTATTTATAGTCTCACATTTTTAGTGTCTACAGTATCTCCTTAGTGAAATTGCCTTTCTCTATCTCATCTACATCTTTAGAACATAGCTTCCAGTTAACAAGCAGTCAAGAAGGACAATGTATTGTAGAAGAATAAGAAAACAATTCCACACTAGCAATTAGCCTATTCACATTAATTATTCATTTACCTCATTCTACAATTTCCCTGCTGCTCTTTTGAGCTTCCTTTCTCCTTGCCACACGCTACAGCTCACATTACCTCACCGTGATACTTTGCTCCCTTCCAAGTGGAGCCATGAGTCTAAAACATTTATTTTGTTTGCTAATAACCTGCCTGTGTAGACACTTTGGAACTGTAATGGCACTAGAAATACAATTCCAAAACCTTCAAAAGAATCAACACACTAAAACAATCATTATGAACTAAGTAGAGTGACGTGGTATATGAAGGATCATCTTAGTTCTCAGAAACAGCAAAACATCTATTATTTCCTAAGGAAGAAGCTGAGAACTGAACTAGAGCTGATGAAGGATTTGGATCACAATTTATGTATCTGACTTTACTCATAACATCCATAATCACATGCAGGAACCTATTGCAGGATCTAAACACAACTCCAAATTCTCTCTCAGAAAAGCACTATTAGAAATGCAGTAAATGTTTGATAGTGAACCATTCTGGGAATATAAAAAACATCATTCCATCTCCCAAAAAATGAATAGGTAAACATGATTCTAATAGTTATGTTTAAATCCACCATATAGAGAATATGTAGAGCCCTGCAAGGACAACCTTCTTCTTGCATAGCATTCCAAAACATAAAACCTATACATGGAGGTTATAAACAGTACTACTTTATAATTATTTAAAATAAATTAAAACTACAGTATGGCTATTATCTACAGGCTATGGTGCAAAACCGGAGTGACCCTGTCATCAGACCTTCAAATACTAGACAGATTTTCCAGCCTGACTTGCCTCATTCAGCATGTAACGAGCTCCATATTATCCAACAGAGGGCTCTTCTTCATTCTGCATAACAGCTGGCATATGAACATCTTTCATCTCTGTGTCTGAATTCAGCAGTGATGAAAAGCATGAGACTAACAGCCTTGGAGACTAATGTGCTCTGTGTACACATAGAATAGGGTCAGTATGGATGACAGAAATGTATACCTTTCTACTCATGCCTAACAGTATGCCTCTATCTATTCTCTGATGTAAAGTTACACAATGAGAACATAATTTGGTGACCAAACTTGTTCCAGATCTGCTCTTGGTAAAACTTCCAGAAAAGGTGACAGCAAGTCCTAAAAACATTTGTGGTAATATCTATGTGGAATAGGAATGATGACTAAAGGCAACCTGCGCATTCCTTCTACCAGATGGCAATAACCATCAGCTTGTGTTCACCTGGTACCTTCCCCCAGCACTCACAAGCCATGAAATTTACAGATATTCTTTTCCTGGAGAAAAGAAGGCTGTGAGGTGACCTCATTACAGCCTTTCAGTACCTAAAGGGAGCCTACAAACAGGAGGGGAATCAACTCTTTGAAAGAGTAGATAACAGCAGGACAAGGGGAAACAGTTTTAAGTTGAGGGAAGGAAGATTTAGGTTGGATGTCAGGGGGAAGTTCTTTACTATGAGAGTGGTGAGGTGCTGGAGCAGGCTGCCCAGAGAGGTTGTGGATGCCCTGTCCATCCCTGGAACTGTTGAAGGCCAGGCTGGATGGGGTCCTGGGCAGCCCGGTCTGGTATTAAATGGGGAGGTTGGTGGCCCTGCCTGTGGCAGGGGAGTTGGTGATTCATGATCCTTGAGGTCCCTTCCAACCCTGGCCATTCTGTGATTCTGTGATATTCTGAACTGCAGCCTTTGAACTATTCTTTCAACCTCAAGGCAAGCAGAGTTGACACAATGCTGCGTAAAGCGCTTAGCAAACATACATGAAGCCACATAACAGACAGGCAATTCGCAAATTCCTCAGTTAGTCATCTCACGTTACACTCAGCATACTTCTGACAGATCCCACTCTCTCAGATAAATAAAATGGATAAATAATGTGGAAAAAGTGGATAAATAAAATCAACAGTAGTAAGACATTAGAATCAACTAAAGCTGGGGAAATATTTAGAAATCAACCACTCCCCAGACAAGAAGGGAACTAACTCTCTTGTATGTTCTGAATGAAAAATAACCAAATGCTGAACAGAATATGTGATGGCTCAATGTCCTACATTTTTGAAGTTTCTTCTGAACATAATGGCTGGTAAACCAATTGGAAAAGGAAAAAAAAAATAACACGATTAAGCAGATTTCAAGCAGAAGAGAAAGGCTAAAGGACAAGGGAAAACAGAGGAAACAAATTATAGTATCACAGAATATCCTGAGTTGGAAGAAACCCACAAGGATCACTGAATCCAACCCCTGGCTCCACACAGAGATCAAACCCTATGTCAGAGAGCATTCCCCTTGTACTCCAGCAGCTTGGAGTTCTTCCCTCAGAGCCTGTTCCAAGGCCTGACCACCCTCTCCGTGAATAACTTTTTCCTAATACCCAACCTGATCCTCTCCTGATGCAGCTTAATACCATTCCCTCGGATCCTATCACTGGTCAATAGGGAGAAGAGATCAGCACCTTATCATATTAATATAACCCAAGATAAAGATATAACAGCAACTACATTTTCTTTTATTACTTGTCTTTTTTAAATATAGCCTAACAACAACCCAAAGCCTTCATCTCTATATGAGTAGAAAATACCAGACATTTATAGTACAATTTGAAGACAGCAAATAAGCTAGTGCTTAATCTTGAAAAAAAAAAAAAAAAAAAAAAAAAAGCTGAAGGACTTGTCAGTCGAATCTGATAAGCAAGGGCCTGCTGACCTCAGCAAAACCATGTAATTCTGTACCTAACGAATGCACTTCTTTAATAATGCTGTAATAGATATCTTAATGCACTGCATTCAAAAAGATCTTAATGTGAGCAGAACAGTATCCTCCCATTTTACGGTCCAAAACTGGGATAGAAGAAAATACAGAAGTTCTTCAATGATGTTTTTATAGAGGTTTTGAAAACCCACTGTTAATCACAATATTAACAATATTAAATACTAGGCGGTAGTCCTTTCCATAGAAACACCCACCTATCCAAATGATTATTACATTATTGTTTATTTGGCTCAAGTAGTTAGCCATAATTCTGGCTTTGCAGAATGGCTTTCATTTGTATTGCCATTTCCTTATGCAAGACAGACACATTCTCCTGTATTCTCCAGGACATTCAGAAAAAAATTAAGACATCTCAATATTTCTTCTTTGCAAAACAAAGAGAAAATAAAAATACCATGGTATGCAAAGCGCAACAGGTGTTAGACACATAAGTTCAAATCTTGTTTGCCAATCAGGGAAAGAAAAGATTTAATGTGAGACATTCACATAACATACCACTATAATATTTGCCACTTCATTTTAAATCCCCCTCATCCCATCTTAGTCTGTTCTTCCTGCTTGGCTTGCCATATTACAGAAAGCATTTATTATTATTTTTTTAATCAAAATACTCCTGAAAAACATCAGCGATTTGAGTCACAAATCTACTTAATCAGAAAAAGAAAATAGGGAAAGCACATGCTAAGAAGAAGGAATGATGCAAAAAAAAAAAAATGCTAAACATGCACCAGGTTTCACATTGTCAGTAAACATTCCTTTCTGAAAGGAAAGGTCGGTAAGATTTACTTCCTGAAGGTACGCTTACAGCTCTATAAGATGGGAAAATAAAGATCAGGATATTACCATGAAACCACTGAGCAATCCTGTTGGTGTTCCTCTCAAACCCAGCACGTCGAGGGACCTGCTCTTCTTTGAACCAGCGAATGATGACTTCTCTTGAAAAGGGTCTAGAAGGACGTTCCCAGATTTTACTATGTTAAAAGGCAAGAAGGTGGTGACATAGGGAATCAGCAGTGTAAGAAAGCAAGGGTCAATATAATTCAAAATCTCTTTTGTATGTATTTTACAACACACACCTAAAAGTACAGCACGTTCAGTGTAATTGCTGTTCAGTATAGATCACTGAACAATTTTTATGTTCTTTTTTATTTGTTCAAATTCTTTTGGGTTCTTATTTAAAACAAAAACATTTTCAGAATTTAACAGAATTCTAATTTCTTAAGCAAAGAACTACAACTGAAAAAACAATTTATCACGAAAGATGCAAGGGGCATTTCAGGCAGCCTTTGTATTCCACCTAACTTTCACAAGTAGTTTTTTTTTTCCTGCTTAGAATATATTCCTTTGTCCTGGCAAGAAATTCTAATCCAGAATCACCTATAATATTTCCTTTACCTAAACCACCGAGCATGAGAGAGGAAATGTTTGGTTTAAGTCCTTATGTTGCCTTGGCACTCTCGATTTGCCAGCCTCCCTTACAACTTTACAAGTATTTTAGATTATATTAGCTAGTAAAAGGCAAGTCAGGTAAAATATATGGGAAACACATCCAGCAATCCTACATGAGGACTGAAGGTAGCTCTATAGTATCAAAACGAAGCATGATTGTGTTCCAGTCAAGCACACAGTCTCATTTACCCTGGTAACACAAATAGAAGGGAGGTTTTACTATGGATTTCTGTTTGAAATCCGGTGGAATTCTGTGTGCTCAAATTGTTAACGAAAGTTATCAAATCTTCAAGCTGGTGCAGGTATGTCCACTTGTAGTATAATGTCACTTTCATTTGGCAAGACAGACATACTCTTCATAGGGAGCAGTACAGTAGCCAGCTACCTATTTCTTGCTTTCTGAGCCCACCTGCCACGAAGCTGCTATTTAACATCAGGTATTTCCAGACAACGTAATGGAAGAACTAGTAATAAAACGTCAACTCAGAAGGCACCAAACATGAAACTGACATGTGAGGTTCAGTAATTCATGTCAGTAAACTTATCTTTAGAAATGAATAAGAGAAAAAAGATAGATGATGTCTGCTTGATGATATGAAAATTAATAAAAATAGTGATTGAGTTTGTTAATATCGAGTGATGAAGCCCAAAGTAACAGTAACTGCTAAATTCCATCAAAACGTGGGTAGATCTGACCAACATTCATAACCAAATTTTAAGATGTAAACATACAAGTGAGTGGAGAAAGTGAAGATTCAGACACAGATATGCACTTAATGAAATAAACAAAAATCCTATGTATGTTTCTTATTTCTGTTTTTTTTTAATAGCTTTCCTCGATAAAGAAACAGGAAACCATTTGAGTTCCAAAGCCCTTCAACCCATTTCCATTTTTTAACTTATTTTGCTCTACTTCTACTATTTAACAGCGAAAGGCTTGTGAAATTTATTTATTTTTGCCCAAAGACAAATCTCAAAATCACTGTCATTTTCTATAACGTTAGTGTTGTCAAACATGTTCATACATGACAGAAGAGAAAAATACTGCCACAAAAGTACAAGTAAAATGTAAGCACAGTATACAAAAAGAACAAAAGGAAAAAGCTGAATAAACAGACAGGAGAAGGTAAAACTACAGGGGTTGTGCGTCACATAGAAAAAGCTAGAGATATGACACTAAACCTGCATTCCCTAAGGCTGAAGGTCTGCCTCAGACCAGCTATAAATAACCACATACTGTACATCTCCCCCTTGAATTCCCACCTCACAAGAGAAGGAAAATTTTAGATACCTACATTCTTTCTTCGCCATACTTGTATTAAGTGTAGGAAGTTGATCTATATACATTTACATATATGCTGAATCACAATACATGTTTAAAGCATAGCTTATAATAGATAAGCAGTGTTGAACATGAGCTGTATAACCATCAGAACATATACCTCAGTATTTTTTCAACCCCTTTTTCAAAACATTCATGTCTGGTACTACCAAATTCACAGAATGGCCTAGGTTGAAAAGGACCTTGGGGATCATCTAATTTCAACCCCCCTGCTGTGTGCAGGGTCACCAACCACCAGACCAGGCTACCCAGAGCCACATCCAGCCTGGCCTTGAACGCATCTAAGGACAAGGCATCCACAACCTCCCTGGGCAAATTTTAATGACAGTATCCTCGCTTCAGAAGCACAGAACTTCTTCTTACAAGTTACAGATCATCTGTTTTAAAATACATCATTTTCATTAGTGTTTATAGTACTCCCTTTCAAAGAAGACTTTTATTTAAGTAGCTCAGAAAAATATAACACCTCTGACAAGTTGATTTGATAGCAATTTTAAATATTCTACTCTCTCTCAGCCAGTGATATTTTGATTCCATCTCAAGCTGCTTTTGCTATTACTGTCAGAGGTTTTCTGATTCAACATAACACAGAAAAGAACTTATTTGTCAGAGCAGAACAGATTTCCACACAAGAGGGGACTCCTCACTGGTACAACACAAATTGGTAAAGCAAAGTTTGATCTACTGTCCCTTTCAGCATTTAATGCTACCGTTCTGACAGAATTCACATTGTCATTATCATTGCAGGAAGCCAAATTAATGACAGAAGATATATTCAGGAAAACAGTGACCAATAACCTTTCTAACACTTATATGCTGAATTCTTTACACAGTACTCCCTGAATGGTTGGATGAAAGATTAATAAACAGAAAACGCCAAAAACATTTGAGTTTGCCAGGAGAACTCTTTGAAATTTAGGAGTATGACAACTATCCATAACGTGTTTTCAAAGATCTGGGCAGCCTGGTCTGGTGGTTGGCAACCCTGCACATATCAGGGGGGTTGAAACTAGATGATCATTATTTCAACCCAAGCCATTCTATGATTCTATGATCCATTGAGAAGCAGAGAGTTTCAGGCTTGGGGGTTAAGACTCACCTAAGAATTTGTCCATTTGATTTTCTCTACATCAGAGCCTTGCATACTAACCTGATCATGATTTCTGATGGGCCCATCTCTCAGTATGGGCTCTCACAAATCTGCCTGAAAAATAATTTAGTTGGCATTAAGTATTCAGTTGTTTCCACCCTAAAAACATTCTTGCTCTGGTCGTAGTGAAAGAACAAGACAGTGAGAACATAAAAAAAAACACTGAACTTGTTGAGACAGGTAGTAATTGGAAAGGGAACAGTTCAACAGAACACGCATTTTCAAGTTACGCTTGCACAAACGAACCTGGATGTCACAGCACGAGACAGCAAAGGACTCGCACTGTTGCTGTTCAGTTTTGCCTCCTGATCATTATTCAGGCTGGTTCCCTGGAACAAATTACTCAGATCAGCCACTCTGCCCTTCTGGATGGCCCGCAAGGATTGCCGCCGGTACTCGTCCCGTGCTCTGCGTGCTTTGTGGCTCCTTTCCTCATCCGCAGCTTTGGAGCGGCGCACTGAGTCAATGAAGGGGAGGGGTCAGGAGGAGAAGCTTTTGAAATACATGAATTACTAACATTTGCCCTTATTTATGTCATTATTATTCATGTTACCTGATTTTAAGAACACACCAATTACAATGTGCTATCAGTGAGAAAACTAAGCAGATAATCTCCCTGATGCTTCAAATACAGGCCCAACAGCAGAGGAAGTATGCCAAATTTGTGCTATCAATGGCTTGATCGCTACAGGCAAAAACTGAGCCTCCACAGACTGTGATTACATCTGATGCTTGCACTGGATGTAATAAGAGAAATTCTGCTGCAGGACATCTTTTCCACTAGTGGTCGATCATGTTATACATTTCAAGAGAGAATATTAATTATTGCTTGAGCAGCTATGCACATAATTAGAACTGCAGGAGGTTTTCCCAAAACATACAATTGTGTTGGTATTTAGATTGCTCTATTTGTTAACGTTGCTCTCTTTCTAAAAGTGGATGCGATCATCATTACGATGTTTAAAATCATAAACATCTCCATCTTAAAAACTCCAGTCAAAAAATTGTTTCAGGAACAGCAGAGAAAATGAATAGTCAGTGTAAAGGGTATTCTGATGCTACAGATGGTGTTATCGCTTCCTATTTCAGTCTCTGAAATTATATATAAAGACCCAGGGTCTGGTCTGGCACATTCAATTGACACGATGATGTTATGGGAATATCCCATCTCAGGATATCTTATCATTCTAATACACACGTATCAGTGGCACTGACCAGGAATACCTAAGTAAAGCAAACTAATTTCCATAGCCTGAAATGATGGACCTGCAGCTCTGGCCATCGCAGATCACACATCTTTCACTAAAGCTTCTTTACTTTAAAAACAGTGTACTAACAATCTCCTTGTCAAACTGGTGTGACTTAAATGCACTAAGAATATGCAAATATTTGTCATCTATCTGCTCTTTCCCGGTGCTTCAAGCTCCATTTTGATGATTTTTTCAGACATAAATAACTTCAGGCAGGAAAATTATTCCAGTGCAAAACAAACCTTTAACATTCAGTGAAGCAAATATTAAAGCAGCACGCTATTGCCTCCAGCAGCAATTATCAATCCTGCCATGACTATCCTGGGTCAGATCATACCCAATTCATGAAGTGCACATGCTATTTCCTACTCTGCTGTGATTGTACCTGTGACTTGGAATGCATGATATAATACCAGACAGCTGCATTTCATTAGGCTGCATGCCTCTGGTTTATGCTCCTGATTTACAGCAAGCACGGGCTATAATAGATTTATCTGAATTATGAAAAGGTTTAATGGAATAAAAAAATAAAAGTGCTTACCAGAAAACAAAATAAAACACTCTAGGCAAATGAAGGAATGAGAGAAGACCTCTAAGTTTAGTTATGAAGTATTATTATAGGTAAAAAGATATATACGACTTAAAACTAATCAAGACAGAATAATAAATGAGTCATCATTACTTCCTGTGCGCACAAATTCAATGTATTTTCACTTAAATACACACATTGTCATTTTAGCTAAATGCAGTAACAGCCATACAGTACAAAAAAATTGAGTACTGTGTTCCACTATTTATCTTACAAGTCCTTCTTTTTAAGGGTAGATAATCTTATCTAAATATGCTACTTCAGTATGTCAAGTGTACTAGATACAAAATTTCTATGATTTATCCTTTGCAAAGCCAGCGAGCAGCAATTGCTTTAAATGTGGACTTTGTTTTAGCAGCAATGAGAGAGCAAGGAAGATGAGTACAATACAGCTGGGTAGGACATTTAGAAACCAGTCATTGTTCCTTACAAACAGATTGAGGGCAGATTGCATGGAGCTTTTCAGAATTCCTTTCTACTGATGTACAGACTGACTGGCAAAGGAAAAACAACAAGGTGTATTCATGCTCAAGTTTCCTCAGCAATAGATTTTTCAACAGACATTCCTACTGTCTTTTTGCTAGCTAATAAATCTATATCATCAGATGCCTGAGACCTGAACTATGTTTTCCCAAGCAGTATCAAATATAAATGTTTCTTATGGCAAAATAATGGGAAGAAACATGTTTTTCAATTGTCAATCATTAACATTCCAAAAAATTTCAGAATGGATATCTGATGTGCAGCCTTGCCCATCCCTATACATATAGATACAGACGCTTGTGTTCATGTATGTAAACGCATATACATATGCATATACATTTATAAATGTGTAGGAATAAAGAAAACTGTAGTCAGATATCTACGTATAGTTATTCATGTGCAAGTCTACACATGTGTGTGTATATATATATATATATATGTAAAAGTATATATATACATAAACACACATATATATAGTCATCTCTTTCCCATGATGAAGAATTTTCATTAAAATTCTCCAGATGAAGTGTCTGAAGAACTGCATCACTGAACATGGGGGTGTACAAGGTCTCTTAATTGATTATTTAAATTATTGACTTGCTGACAGAAGACGCTTTTACAGTAAGTGTACATTTGGCGTGACCCCTATGCAAAGCACAACATTTAATAATCGGTATTTTCTGTAAGAAAACTAGATATTTAAATATCTCCTGTCCTCAAAAATATCTGAATCATCACTGTAGGTATCTATCTAGCATCAAGAATTACTACAAATTTATATCCCAGAATAACTCCAGAATAATTTCAATACTGGAAAAGGAGGATTTTGATTGATTTTTCAAGTTTACGCACAAAATTTACCATTCAGCCAAGCCCATACGTCCACCTCCACCATCAGGTTTCTCTTCAGATGTTGGTTAAGAACAAAGAACAAGAACAGGTACATCCTCCTCCAGCTCAGGTGAAATTAAGCATACTTTTCCCCTGATGTACCTTGTGCCCTATGCTGTACCTTGTGTAGAAATGCAGACCTGTTTCTATGTGGTCTTGAGTTTGCTCCATCTTGGACGCTTTTTGAGAACCTATAATTTCTCTCTGCCAGTCTAAACAATCTTTTGAGTCAAAATGCAGCACCATCTTTCATATTTTGAGTTCGGGCTGTGGAATCATTATTTATATTATATAAGCTTATCTAGCTCTGGAAAAGTTGTATTAATAAATCTTTTAACTCAGATTAGGATTAATTTGTGCTGTGCGTGGTCAGTGAAGCATGTCAATTGTGAGATTAGGAACTCTCCATTTTCTATAATACATGTTATGATTTTGAAGAGCTGTGAGTTATAGATGGAGATATGTGGAAATAAAAAAAAGCCATAAACGTGTTTTTTGTTTGTTTGTTTGTTTTTTAAGAGATTTTTCTTAAGTTTTACCCTTGTTAATTATTCTTGAAAGCTTGTTCATGAGTAATTCAAAATGAGCGCTCGATAAATAAAATTCAACTCACAGATTTTCTGAGTGCAAACCCAAAAATCACACGGTGTTTTCTCTTCCACAATTGGGAAATAACTTCCCACAAATATTCTGCAACAGGGCTTGACTTCAGCAATCTTTTGATCTGAAAGTATGTCAATAATTCCATCCCTATTCAGCAATGTGCTCTGAGATCTATTGAAGTTCTATGAGCACATACTTAAGGTTGAGCATTTGCTTATTTAATGCATAGCTGAACTGGGAGCTGTTTGCTTTAAAAATCAGCATTTTATCAAATGTTCCTGCCAGTAAATTCCTCCACTTGAATTTCTGTGGAAGGTAAGTACCAGAAGAACATAAAATCCTTTGAACCTCAACAAGTTCATAGGCATAACTTGTGGTAAAACACAAAATCATAGAAGAGGTTCTACCAGATCAGCCTGATATCCCATTTCCAACAGAGACCAAAGGTGGGTGCTTCAGAAAAGATGTAAAAATATGAACAGAGCAAGTTACTCAAATCTATTTGCATCTTTTCAGGCTTATTAACTGTCTGGAGAGGGGTACAGTTGGTCAGACAGTATCCAGGCATTTCTTTCCTTGGTGCAGTTTGCAGGAAGTTGGCAATGTACTGACAGAATGCCTTTTGCACTATTCAAGCAGAGGAATGTTTAAGCTACAAGTTTTCATATTATGCTATGTAAAACCCTCATTTCTGGTCTCACACAACAGAGTCACACTAAGAGAGCATAGCACAGAGTATCGTTTCTTGAAAACTCTAGAAACATACAAAATAGACCAGCCTGTAGAAAGATTCAAAACCAATCAGAATACATTCTCTTCTATCCAAGCTTAGCTTCAGTTCTCACTTCTCAGAATAAGAGCTTGGGAAAGTGGACTATCTGAATAATTCCTTTTTACTATTCATCTTCCCATCTGCCAACCTAAATACTCCACATATTAACTTGCAACTGCCCTCTATAGTACCCCAACAAATACGAAGGAAAAAATGATTTAGTAGCAATTATGCACACAAAGTGGAGCTTTTTCAGGCTTTTCCACATTTGTCATTTATTATATTAAAAAGCACTGAAATTAGCTATTTCAATTAACAAAGCAGTTCTATGGGATTTTTTTTGTTATTTGGCACAATCAAGCAAACCACAGAAGCAAACTGAACAGAACAATAGAAACTAATATTAGCAGCACTTTGCTTATCGCGTTGGCAGTAAACCGAGGGGATAATGTGACGAGGAGAGATGAATTCTCATCACATTCTAAATTTCATCTGCTAAATAAATTACTACTGTCATCAATATCATTGCTACATTTGCTCTCCACAATAGCTGCACTAGGCACTTCTGTTCCTCTTCGGTACTGACCCCAGTACTGTTGAATATGAAGGACTAACTACAAGGACACAACACACAAAGGAGCTTAACCTTGCTCCTACTGGGCAATAAGGTCTCCATTGCAGGTGGGCAGGAGACAAAACATGTTAATATTATGTCTGCTTAGACCTTTCTCACATATTCGTGCATTTATTTCTTGCTTAGGAAAGATGACAAATGGACAGCTTTGCCCACTTTCACTAAATTTCCTCTCAGTGTGCTGAAGAAATACATGAAGATAGAATGAAAGGATTGCCACAAAAAGGGGGAAAAACGATGTCATTTGAACTTAAAGCTGAGAAGTCTGGTGAACCTGAACACTAGCTCATTCCCTAGCAGTTTAACATGTTTCCTCTTCCAAATATTTGTTGCTGTCTGTTTGCTGCAGGTTCTGATGTTTTGGCAAAGTTAAGGGAACGAAAGATACGAACATTCCTCAGGAAACTCACTGCGGTCAGATGGCAGAGTTTAAACCAGCCCAGGAACTGGTTTCAACCAAGGCACTAAACACTACCTCTTCATATCTTAAACTGTCACAGCTATTTGCTAATGGAACACAGTTCTAAGCCCTCAAATCAACTGGGATAAATTGAGACAATGAGATAAGCATAAGAGGATAAACAAAGATATGATACACTCCAGTCATTACCCTGCAGTTAGTTTAATGCTAAATCAATTCCTGATAACAGCATAAACTCTGAGAGCACAGAATTTAGAGCAGGCTGCAAACATTAGCCATGGTGCAGCCAACCAGACCGTGCTGACCTTTTGTTTTGCCACAGCAGTGCTATTACTGGTGATAACACTTGGTATCTCAAATTATCTGAGCTGCAGTCAGTCACTCTTCTGTGCACAAAGATACATCCATACAGGTAGCAAAGTATATAGAGTGAGGGTGACAAGGGATGGACGAATAATTTAGAGTTCACATAAACACATAAAACACTCCAACCAAAGGTTACATAAGAAAAAAATAACCATTATGTCAGTCAACATATGATGTAGTTGAAATCTTTTTTGGACTGACACCGAATGCTATTAAAGAAATGGTCCAAGTCTCTCACAGCTTGTTTCTTTTCCCTCTGCCTCTTCTCATAATTCCTTTGTTGCATTTCTGATATCTGTCCCTGTACAACCAGGATTCCTTGAGAAAACTGAAACGATTTCAAAACCTTCACTTCTCTCTTCAGTGCATCAAAGTAAAATAATTGCAGTAATAAAAAAATTATATCTTTTATTAGTAATTTTTAGAATATTTTTTGTTGCCACTCTCAGTATAAAAATATATTGCACTTTTCTTTGTAACATGGTTACAGGAGTATTTTCTTTCCTTATCTACCATCGAAGTACATAATGCCATCCTCTATGCTATGTTGGTAGCCAATGGTAATTGACAACATCTAATTTTCGACAAAACTAAAGACTACTTCTGACCTAATTTAGTCCAAACATAGAAAGCTACACTTTTCCTTTCAGAATAAACACGTATACCTAGATTTAGATGATTTAGGAATCATTACCTTTTCTTTATTGACAGTGTAATATGCAGAGGTTTTATTGATCAAAAATAAGCCTATCCTTCTACCACCTTGGAAAATGCACCAGTGTATCTTATATAATCTTAATTCACTTTGTTAGCACGATTCTCTGTCACATCAATCTCAGGTAATAGGACTTCTGTAACTAGTCTTCAGGAACTGCTGAAGTGATTACCAACACTATAAAATAAACTCTTAGCATATTCTGAAACAGTAAGGCAATATTTTCTCCTACTTCATGAGGTATTTCACATAATGCACATGCTATTTGTCATTTCCATAAAGCTCTATTCTCAGTATTAGTTGATTAAACTTTGCACTGTACATAATTAATAGAATACACCCATGTGAGCTATAACATTACAAACATCACATTTCCTGAAAAGTTATCAAACAAGTATTGCTGCAAGAAATAATAATATTCTTCCTCCAAGAAAATGCATATTTCCCACTTCTACAGTTAGTTTTACAGTAGACTCTAGATCAAGTAGACCTACATTTTGTTCACAACAACCTATTAAGGTTATATCTACAATATATGTCTATACATTGAGTCACGTGCTTGCCCTGTTCTTTACTGTCTTTAAAAAAAAGATAATTATATTTATGAATTAACCACAAAGACGACAGTAAATGATTTCAGAGTGGCTAAAAAGAAATTGTCTTCATACAGGGAGAGTATCTCCATGAGCTTTTTTTTCAGGGAAACAATGTATTATTTACTGTAATCCCTCAAACTGAAGAGCTGAAATCATATCTCAATCCCATTAACATACAGAAGGAATTAAAACACAGATAAAGACAGATTCTACCTCTTCAGAGATAGCAGAGAACAAGGCATCTGAATAAGTGTGTCCATCCATTCTAGTTGATACATTTTTTTAAGTCATTGACATAGACTGTTATTCAGAAACGTATTCGGTAAACTCATAGAAGCATTCACTTCTAAAATAAGTTTGTGATTTCCTGAAAAATAATACAGCATTTTGCATTCCTCTAGGCACGAGAGATTTTTTTGCAACACTTCTTTTCATTCTAGAAGCACATAGGAGTCTTCCAGAAACACATAAATCTTGTGAAGATGGTTTTACTCACACTGTTCTTCCCACTCCTGGTCATCATCGCTGTGCTGACTGTGCTGCTGAGCTTGCTTGAGACTCAAATACAGCTCTTTTGCTCGGATTTCCTCCTGCTGCCTTATTTGTTCTTCACCCTTTTGTCTTTCCTCTTCTTCTCTTTTCTAAGCAAAATGAAGCAAAACAGAAATGACTAAAGCAGAAGAATATGCCAAGTTAGGACACTTTTACGGGGCTGCTGAATCACAGCCTGAACCTCTGATTGATCACCTGAGGTGAGCAGTAAGTCAGCCATGGGAGCACAGGAGAAGGCAATTCACCTGTGCTGCAGGAAGGGGTGGATCCTGTCTCCTCCTCTTCTAGACCCATTTAAGAGCTGACCCCGCCAGTGGGGAAGGATCTCTTCTAGAGATCTGCTCCACTGGAGTTTACCACAGAAGCCCAAGATAGAGTGATTGTTCTTCTTTCCTACTCTAATATAATAGCTACATCAGCCAAACTCCTGGACATACTATATAATCTGTATACTCATTGATTGTACAGATACTACTTCAGTTGTTTCTGACCAAAGTAACTATGGTATCTTGAAAAAAGTTTTCTTTTAACTTAAGAGTTTTATCCCATATAATATAATAGAAATCACAGCAATAAGGAACTTCAAAGGACCAAAGATCTAAAATATATAAGGAAAACACCTCATCACATGGCACCTGAACTTGCGCTATCCTATAATTCAGAAGTAGCACTCTTGTTTTCAATACACATGGACTTATACTGGAGGCATTGCTCCCACTCTAGCTTTATATACATCTGTAATGATATAATGGGATGATAATAGCAAGGTGGCAGAGTCTTCAGCTACAGCAAATAAGAACGAGCACAAATGCAGGAACCACAGAAACATAAATGAAGGAAAAGAGCTTTGGAAGATCTTAGCTAGGCAGGGATCTCCAGAGAGATAGCCTCACATCTACTGCTAACACTTCAGTGAGAGCTAAGAAGGGGTGGATCCTGGCTCCAGCCCTTCCAATCTCAACTGTATGGCATGCACGTGAGCTTCCCTGGCTTGGCCTGCCTTCCCACCAGGTGCTCAGTCACTGGTTCAACCCCTGACTTAGCATTTCTGCTACAACATCTTTTCTAAGATCTGTACTACTCTGAATCAGATTTACTAGCGTTCTTACTTGAGCAACTGTCACCGTGTGTCTTCATAACCAACACAGAGAACAACGTTCTTCAAATATCAAGACCATTACGTTCCAGGAGGAAAGTCAGATCCTCCAGCATATGCTAAACACTTTGCAAGATGTAACTTAACACACAAAAATTTCCTGTGCAAGAAGACTATCAAAGTGATGGAAACCTCATAGAGTAATGTTATGGACGCCCTTCTACATACTATCAATAACCAAGGTACCTAATTAGTGCAGGAATAGGGATCCACATCTGTATTTCTGTATTTTTCACTATTACCTTAGGAAGAGAAGTGAATTTATTTTGTTGAACTAAGAAGACTGCTACTACAAACTAAGAAGTTTGTGCTGTGTAAATAATTATCTCATTAAGAACAGAGGTCTTGAATGAATAATGGAAAAACCATTATAACCACAACAATAAGAAACTTATGCAGAATAGTTTCATTAGTAGTCTCTGAGTATTCATCCACCCTCAATTACAAACTCAGCTAAACTCAACCCAAACTAGAAATGAAGCCCAGGTAGACTGTCAGTTATTATAAATTGTTATCAAATGTCTAGCATGAAGCAACTGATCCAGCTGAATAAACTGTGGTGAAACTGCTTTTACATTAGGGACTTGGGAGAGATACTTCTGTCTTCCTTAAACAGTTGTGTGTGGGATTTTTTTGGTTTGTGAAAGGCCAGAAGTTTACTAACTTCTTCTTTTGGGTGGGATTTTAATGTTTAATTACAATGAGACAGGCAGTAGATCAGCACAGAGAAAGAAAAAAATAGGATTAAACCAGAAAACAACTTTCTCAAATGCAACAACATGACTGATCAATTTTCAGAGCTCATAGATTTCAGCAAGCAGGTCTTAACTATGGGGCTTTGCATGAGTTATTTCTTTTTCTTCTTTAAGACACAGTCTGAAATTAAGTTCAGATGAGACTGCTCCTTCTTTCAAAGGGGAATCAGATGTATTTTGCTTCCTTCACACCCTGTTTGTGCACTGTGAACTTTTTCGAAGGCCATACTTTACAATCTGAAAACAGGTATCTTCATAATTTTCAGCACAGCAGGATTCACAGCACGACCAACACAATATGTGGTCTATCTCAATAAGAATTACAAATTTGAGTGGTGAGATGGATGAAAAACCTGACTTTGAATACACTCTAAACTCACAGGCAGCATCAGGAAAAGCACAACCAAGCTGTTATTCCTGCAAAAAGTCATCTAATTTTCCACATTTTGGTTCTTCCTGTTGGAAGATGTTACCGAACAACATTGCTTTTTAACACATTTAAGAGTAACCATCATCTGTGTTTTTCCAGTGATGAAATACATCTGGAATACTCATCTGAGAATCAAGAAAAATTTTATCCACCATGGCAAGGGTTATTGTTTGTTTGCTTGTTTGCTTTTTTAATTCTCTCCAGCACTGCATACGTAATTTTTTGTTAACTGAAAACCGGAATTAAAGGAGCATGATTCAACTTCTTTTCTGAAGACAGCTTTTCAAAGCAAATAATATTGTTATTCACCATTTGTGACTCATAGAAGCTTAATCAAGACCCAAAAAGAATCAATACTGTTTGGTTGTTCCAGTTAGGAATGACACAATGCCATGTTTAAGAAAAATAACATCTTGTAGTTGCATGAATGTGGAAATAACAGTGCATAAACAAGGACAGATGCCTTGAGTTTCACCAGGGTGCTTTGATTTTTGAACAGTCAGACAGCTGACACAGCTCTGTAATGCTTTTGTCCGTTGACAATTAAAAAAGACTGAGAAGTAGCAAGCAATTTAGCAGCAACAATCAACATTTTAAGTGGGAAAATGGAACAAATGCAAATCTATGCCCTTGCAAGAATTCCGCAATTTTTCCATTTCCTCAAGTAAATGAAAACAACATTTCTCCATTTAGCTCAGCTGAGCACCGCTAGTAAGCAGAGGAGGTCCCTTTGATTCTACTAAACTAAATCAAAAGACCTGAAAAACTTATTGGTAGTGAATAGGGGTTTTATAGCATACATGATGAACAATAAATTAGGCTGATCTTACTGTTTCTGAGAAAGAAAAGCCCGGTTTTGTTCTTCACTCAGTTTTTCATATATTAATGCCAGACTCTCTGATTATTTCTAACATTGTCCTCGCACTGTTATCTCCTGAGTCTTAAGAAGATTAGTTGAGTGGACACTTCATTATTTCTGAAATGTCAATGCTTTTATGAAGCACTGATTTCAAAGCCCAGAAGCTTCTTCAGAAGAAAAAAAATCCCTTTTACATCTCCTGCAGAACAAGACTTTTCTTATTTCAGTCGCTAGCAAACATTTTAAATTCCTTCTTGGAAAAAGCATCCAATCAGCTGTGCTTTATTTTTACGAGGTGAATGTTATCCACCCAATTGCACTGCTTCGAAAAAAATTCCACCGCATGGAGGCTATCCTTTCAGGAAGGCAGATCAGCATAGAGGTAATCCTCAATTATCAAAATGTTTCTATTCAACATCTTAAATACAAAACCAACCAACAAACAAAACAAAAACTACCAGAACAAACCCCACAAGAATCCACCTCAGCAATTTCCCTCAATCACACAAGGGATTTGTCAGAAGTTTGATTTCAATACAGCTGTTGTTCAAGAATTTGTAGTATAAAGATGAAAATCCCTAACAAAAAAAAAGAACCCAATTCAGTTCTCTATGGAAAGCAGCAGTGGCTATTAAGAAAAGCGTAGCTTTTTTTCTTTAGTGGGAACAAGGATCTTTAGGTCAAAGAAGAAATAATAACAAAAACATTCAACACTAGCACTTGACTCTGAATTGACAAAACTTGTTTTGCACCATTTTATATTTTTGAGCAAGTTTGATTTTAAATAGCATTTACTCAAATTAGTGCCTGAATGCACTAATGTGTAAGTATATTTGGGAACAACTGCCTGTGAGGAGAAATGACAATTCATAGCACAACACAGGACAGATGAGTAAGCATTTGGATAAGTATGAATAAAAAGTGTGAATTTTTATTGAAAATGAACAATTGGACTTTTCACACTTACACCAATGGAAAAAGAACAGCACCACGTTTATCTGCTTCTCTCTGAGAACCTAATCCTTCACATAGAGCTGAAAGAAAAGAGCTGTAATAATCTCCAACCATCACCGTCTGCCTCGCAGCTGGGAGAGACTGCACTGTGTGCAGTGATTCTTTCATGTCTTCCAGAATAATTAGGAAGGTGACAATTCTGTGCATGGTTGCAAGTTGCCAACAAATACCAACCTGCTGCAACAAATCATGCTGGCAATTCAATAGGCAGGAGTAATCCTCTACAGCTTAAACTCCACTGAAGAATGTGAACATGCTAAATGATCTTATCTAGCCCCTGGCATTTGAGCATTTACCACAAACTTGTTACTGTAAATGTGCATCACACAGTGTTTGATAGTGCTACCTCAGCCAGCTCTAAATAATATTTAATCCTAGCCAGGGTTAGCTTGAGGTATTTCAGTCCAACACAGATGAGAAAAGATTAGGTCAGTATTCAGTTTCTGCTGCAGAATGATTTTTAAAATGCCCTGAGACAAGACAAACATCACCTCATTGTTTTCCAATGGAAAATGGAGTTTCTGGCTGCTGAGGCTCTTGGGGCTTCTCTCGGGAGGAAGGATGCAGGGCAGCTGAACGACTGCCATTCTGCTTGGGGCAAAACCCACACAGAGGGTTTGTTACAGCAGCCCTCTCTGAGACGAAGGGTACCTGGATTCCCTCCACACATAAGGCTGTCAGGAAACGTTCCTGGCAGCCTGAGAGCCGAAGGCAGCCAGCTGCAGCACAGCTGCTATGCATTTACTTGGACTCCCCGCAGTCAAAGCCTTGTGCTAGGGCAGATGTCCAGGCCACCTGCCAGAGTACTGCGAGCACAGCTCATCTTCACATCTGAGGCCTTAAGTCTCCCAGCCCTCAGTAAGAGATTCTGAAAAACCCAGGGTCCTCGGCTCCGGGACAGTGTGCTGTCAGCAGCACTGTTACACCAGGACTGACTTTAGAGACCAGCATTCTCCACAAACCCACCTGGCAGTTTCCAGCAGAGCTGTGTGCACGCATCAGCAGAAATACATCCAACCACTTCCCAACATTTTTCTGAGAAAATCCTCCCACTTGCCTCAGAAAGAAAAACATTTGCAGAAACATATTTTCTCTACTATCAGTGTCTCAAGAGGAACAGGGGGTTTGCATCATTTCACTAGTCCATGCACGCATTTGCATGAAGACAAATACCATCAGTGCAGTTGCGCTTTATGTAAAATTCACATTTCACTAACAGATGAGCCCCAGGACATGCTATTCACATACATCTCATATGGGCAGGTGCCAACATCACACTCTGCTTTGCAAAGACCATGTTTTAGATGAAGTACAAAACAAAGGTGAGGACTCATTCTGATTAGGAAGGATCTGAGATTTATTACATGAGCTGGAGCAGACCATTCTTGAGCACAGTCTCCTAATGGCTTGTTTTTTTTTTCACAATTCAAATCCCTGGTACATCAACTATCCCCATCAGTGGTTCATATGTTCTCATTTACCCATGGGAAAGGTCATATTTATGCTGCGTCTAGAATAAGGACATCAGCTTCAGCAGCATAATCAGTACCCACATTAGTAGGGAAAGGGTTTTTCTTTAAAGTTCATGTCACAATTCATTGCACATTGGATAGGAAAACTTTGAAGATCTGTTTCCCAGCTGAAGATGAAAACCAGCCTCATTACCGTATCACTAAAGAAACATCTGCATAGAAAAATAAAAAATAAAATCTTAACTGTGGTGTCAAAAAAGTACAGAAATGAAGCATTACCAAAATATTGCAGTTGGTATTGAATGTACTGAAAGGATTTTCAGAACGGGTTAGATGCAAAATCCGGTCAAGAAGCTCTTGTCTTATTCTTGTATTCTGAATACACTATCCTTGGGAAAGAGTTCAGTGTTTTCTTGGCACAGAGCACATAGCTGAAATTATAGCTTATTTGCACTTAAACATAACAACAGGCCCACTTAATTACCTGATATTTACTTGGAAACAACTTTTTTTTTTTTTTTAGTGTAGGACAGAATGCTCATTGCTAGATTGTAAGAAGTGCAAAGTACTCTAAGTGGTAACTGTGACATTTTACTGCATTCCTAATCTGTATATCTGGCAGCAACCACTGGAAAAAAAAACAGGTCCACAGCATTCCGAGCACAGGAAAGCACTCACAAAGCACGTGTTGAAAGCCCATCCAAGCCAGCGGGACAGAAGTGTACTCTGTCTACTAAGGACGTGGTCCTTATTACTTTCCTGAACTAGAGCACTAGTTACTCTTTTTCTTCTCAGAAGGTTGTTTATAAACCTGCCTTCTTTCATGGCAATGAAAACAGCCAGGACACAGAAACTCCCCCTTCACTCAACACAGTCCCAATGGGAATTAGTCATAAACACTTGAATAACAATAAAAATTAAAATAATGGCAGGAAATTGTAATGCTATTCCTCTCTTATTGCCTATGATAAAAATAAGCATTATTTCTCCCAAAGTGCTAATGTCATTATAAGTCCCACTAAGTATCTTTTTATACATGAAGACCCACAGTGTCAATTAAACCCAATACATAATTTTTGATTAATACCTATGGATTTTTGCAAGAGACAATCTAGCTTTATTGTCAGTTCTGCTTATATAATTACATTTGACAGGTATCTGTTGTTGTCATACAGATAGCACTTTACTATTAATATTTTCTTGCTTTATGGAGACCACAAAGAACTGAGACAGTATCTCTCATTCCTAAACGTAGCTAAAGGATATTACCCTCTTCTGGCTCACTGAAGATCACATCTTTAATTTATCTTAGCTCTGTACATTGTTCAAGACTCTTAATGACAGATAAAAGCAGGAAATGATGTCTATGATCTCATAGCCTTCGTGAATTTGGAAAAAGATTAATGATAGTAATTGGCTCTCTTATTTGTCCTTTGCAATAGATGCATAAAAGAATAGCAGTTCTTGAACTGCAAAAATAGAGCAGTGAACATTTATATTCTAGCATCATAAATTAAAGGCATTTCTGTTTAAGAAACACCAAGGAATGCAATATTTTTTCAATAGTGTTAAAAAAGAAGACAGGAATCATCAGTTTGATATGTGAGATATCATTTATCTAACGCAGGCAGCCTTAAAGTCCCATGATAGGTCAAGAATACAAAAGTGTTTTAAAAAGGAGAGTTTGTGATATAGCGTGGTCAGAAATTAAACATATCAGCATATCAGAACAGACAGAGCTCCAATCTCTCAAGTCAAAATTCTTCAAGAGGACAAAGCCTTAACAGACACCGATGTTTTCATACCCTAGTTTTGGGGACTGCTTTAACTACATGCTGGTTGTTATCACAGAAGGATGAGTACCAACACATTAAATATCTTAAACCTGCTAAAGTGGGCTAGCTAACTGATCTGCATTTGATTCCACTCTCTGAATCATTCATGAAAGGTGCATTTCTTTCTGATTTCAATGATTGCAGTCATACATAACGAAACTGATTAATTCATCTTTTTCCCAACAAGGAACCTAGAGAGATTAAATAAATTGATGGACAGAGAAGCTGCTGCTGCTGGGACATGACCTTCTCATCAAGCTAAGTACAATGAGCAGAGTTTGGTGCCACTCTTTTCAAACTGTGGAAGGCTAGTTTTCCTTAAAAATGCGACTGGTGGCCACTGAATTTTCATAAGTTGCTCCATTCAGATTTTTGAAAAAATCTCTTTGAAACAAAAGAACAGTGAGCTTGTGGACATTTAGACCATCAAATGCATTGTGAAACAACAACAGAGCCACAAGTGAACAGGCCTGCAGCAGTCTTAGTTCAATAGTGCTTTGCTTTCTGGAAAGTAGAGGAAGGAAAGCAATTTAATTAGTTGCTCTGCTCATCATTCACACATTAATAAAGCTACTTGAAAGGTATAGTTTCATTACTCATTGACATCAATTTTCAAAAGCCTTATTCTCTCCTATGAGTTCAAATTAATTGTGCAAAGGTAAATCAGCAACTTTGTGCTGCAGAGGCTTTTTGCTATATAGCCATCCTCAAATCCCAGCCCCACTGTTTATAGATAGACAAGTAACTTGCTGACTTTAGTTGGGAATCAAACCATATAAATAAACACTGAGATTTTCAAAATTTGTCCTGTTACAGAGGGACAAGGTGAGGATTCCATCCACAGTTTCCATGCATTTAATCACCATCCCAAGAAGAGAAAAATGACAGTAGCCAACTGTCAACTGGGTAAAGTGAGCGGGGTGTAGATGGAAATGGCTGCATGTAGATCTCCTAGGAGTCATGCTTTGCTACAGGTTTTCTCCATGGAAACCCAGCTGCATCAATCTTGTGCAGTCCCACAGCACACATCTCAGTCTCAGAAGTCATGATAATTTCTCTGCACACTAAGACAATTGTATTTTCCTGTTTTTATCATTACAAAATAAATCGAAAGAAACAGAGATCTGCATTTCCTGTCTTGTCTTCAAATTATCTTTGACAAGAGAATCTTAAAAAAGTATTTCAAACCAACATTAAAATACTGTAACCGAGTTTATGGAAAATTCACAATGGTGTCAATAAAAATCAGGTAAATGAACCTCATGAAACAAAGCTTTTTCCCATATGTTGAGTAGGAGAAAGATCCACTGTTCATTACCTTAATGAATGTGGAGAGAGAATTTTTAAGTCAAATGTATGAGCAATGCACACAAAATGCATCAAATATGTTCAAAAAGACTAGCTTAAAAAGATACATTCCACAATTGAACATTTTTCCCCCAGTATGATTCATTCAGTAGAGCTGACTAAACAATTCCATCAGTGTGTGAGCTGAATAACCCATATGATTGTCCTGACACTTTTGAATGAGATATGTAATTTTTTTCCCCATCACTCACCCAGCTGTGCCGGTGAGAACCATGTAGCTATTTGCATATTCCAGGATGAAAAAACACAACTTTGGTTCTTAAAACTTATTAATAAACATGCACCAAAGCTGAGAAGAATTTTGAATCTATGTAAGAACACTTAAAGCCTAAATATGATTGTGCAAACCTTCAGATCCTCCTGAATCTTTTCCTCCTCCAATTTTGCTGCTTTTCGATCTTCCATTTCTATTTTCCATTTTTCTGCTACTATTCTGGCTTTTTCTTGAGCCATAGCATCCCGGAATTTCTTTGTAATTTCAGCTTCTTTTTGTCTCCTTCAGAAAAGAATTTGAAAATAAAAATGATTGAAGATAATTCAAGGCATGGTTATTGAGGGTTTTTTTAAATTGAAGATCAAATTCTAGTCAGTAGTAGATCCTTGTTTGCAACAAATGATTAGAATTAAACGTCATGGAAATACAAAAGAAAAAACACTTAACAAGAAACCTCTGAGGAATGGATTTCAGATAACCATCTGGACAAGAAACTTTTTCAATTTCCAGTAAATGTCCCATTAATATAGCATCTTCTAAATGAGATCAATTTTTTTTTTTTATTATTATTTTCCAGTCATGTCCTGTCTTCCTTGGCCGAAAACAGATTTTTCCTATCCATCTAGCAAACCGTGGGAATTTATTTTCTCTCAAATAGTGAAACCAGTGAAAATGTCTGCAAAACTTTAACAGTAGAGCATTTATTAATTGTGACAGCCTAAAAGGAGCACAGAGCACATGGTGAAGTTTTAATCCCTGCTTAAATCTGCTATCATTATAAGCAAGAAGAATCTGATATGAAAAGCAATAATACTGAATAATCCAATATTTAATGTGTTACTTCTGTGCACTGAACTGCAAAACTAAGTGCAGGAAGCAGGTGGCCTACGTCCCAACAACATCACAACATCAAGCATCAAAAGACTTTTCAATCTTCATGAAAGCTGGAATCAGCCCTACTGGAAACACCAGCATGGCACTTGTAGTAATCAGCTTCTGAACTGCTGGGTTAAGAACTAACACAAGCAGTATGCACATGAAGCCAATTGGAAAATAATAATAAAAAAAAAAAAGCATTACACATACAAAATCTCTGTTGTGGGCATAGATGCAACAAATATTTTCTGATTTCACCATCTCAAACACACAGAATCACGGGACAGGCAGGGGCTGCAGTGAAAGCTGAGCCAGGACAAACTTTGTTTGCAGTGTTCTGTCACAGTAAAGAAGTGCTTCCTTGTGTTCAGGTAAAACTTTCTGTGTTCCAGCCTGCATCCACTGTCCCTTGTTCTGTCACTGGGCACCAGTGTAAAGAACCTGCCCTATCCACTTGACTACTACACTTTAAATATTTATAAGCATTGGTAAGACCCACCCTCAGTCTTATCTTCTGCAGACTGAACAGCCCCAGGTCACTCAGCCCTTCATTGCTGGGGAGATGCTCCAGTTCCCCAGTCATTCTGGGGCCCTCCACTGGATTGCCTCCGGTAGTTCCCTGTCTTTCTTCAACCGGGGAGCCCAGAACTGGACACAGTACTCCAAGTGTGGCCTCAACAGAGCAGAGTAGGGTGGGAGAATAAATCCCCTCAACCTGCTGGTCACACTCTTTTTATGTACTTCAGGCTATTGTTGGCCTTCTCAGCGACAAGGCCATCTACACTGCTGTCTCACGGCCAACCTGTTGTCCACCAGGACACCCAGGTACTTCTCCGCAGAGCTCCTCTCCAGCAGGTTAGCTTCTATCCCATACCAATGTGCATGGTTATTCCTCTTTCATTTTAGTACTATACAATTGCCCTTGTTGAAGGTTCCTCTCCATCCACCTCTCCAGTCTGACCAGGTCTCACTGAAAAGTAGCACATCCTTCTGGTGTGTCAGTTACTCCTCCCAGCTTTGTATCATTGGCAAACATGCTGAGGGTGGACTCTTATCCCTTCATCCACGTCACCAATGCAGATGTTGAAGATGGGATCCAGCACTGGCCCCTGGGGAACACTGCTAGCTACAGGCCTCCAGATAGATTCTGTGCCACTGATCACAACCCTCTGAGCTCTGCCAGTCAGCCAGTTCTCAATCCACCTCACTGTCTGCTCATCTATCCCACACTTCCTATGCTTACTTACGAGGATATTATGGAAGACAGTGTAAAAAGCCTTGCTTAAGTCAAGGTTTGCAACATCCGCTGCTCTTCCCACATCTACTCAGCAGATCATGACATCATAGAAGACTACCAGACTCATCAAGCACGACTTTCCCCTGGTGAATCCATGTTTACGCACCAGATAACCTGCTTCTCATTCACCTGCTTGGAAATTATATTGCTTGGAGATGACATTAAGAAAAATCACATTCCCAGGGATGCAGGTGAGTCCTCCCTCCTTTCTTTTCTGAAGAGTGATATACATTGGCTTTCCTCCAGTTCTCAGGCATCTCTCCCATTCTCCATCACCTTTCAAAGTCAGCAGAGAGCAACTTGGCAATCTCCTCTGCCAGTTCCCTCTTTTTTATTTACTTACAAATTGGACAATAGTTTAGCAAAATTCCCCAAAATAAAAATGTTCACTACAATTTTTTGTGCAAGAAGACTTCTGTTTTTTAAATATTAAAATAAAATTTATTTTTTCACAGAATGAAATATCACCAAAAACAAATGAAAGCAAATGTTGACAAGACATACTTACCATTTTTTACCCACCATTACCTCACACCTTTCTACAAGGCCATGTGTCCCATAATGCCAAGTGGACCCTGAATTCAGATTCTTAAATCCTCACCATAGCTCTTCTGCCTCCTTCTGTGCTTGTTGCCTGGCGCGTTCAGCTATTAGCTCCTCTGATATCTGTTCATACGGCTTGTCATCTGGGGCTTCTCCCATAACCCAGACCCAGACCTCACCATCCTTCCCACGCAGCCACTGCACGTGTTTGCCATTACCTGCAACAGCCAACAGCAGAAATAAAAAAAATAAAAAAAAAAAAAAAAAGGAAAAAGCAAACACGTAAGTGCAGGCTCAAATTCTTACATTAAAATAGAAGACCAGACCAGAAAATCATAATTGGGAAGCAATTTACTACTCAGAATAAGATACATCAGGCTTGATGAAATCTACAGATTTGACCCATCCACCATGCTAGAAGTGGGGAAGACAGTGTTTGTACAATTCAAAGCATATAATCTTCAAAGGCTCATTGCTCTACCAAAAATAATAATTAAAAAAAATAAAATTCTGTTGTATTCTCCAGAACTTAGGGACTAAGATTCCTTTATTAATTGCAAAACTATATTGTCTTGCTTAATTCAGCGAAGGATGAACAAAGGAAGAGAAAAAGAGATGGAGAGATAGAAACAAGTAGCATTATACAACTAGAAATGCTTTAGCCCACAGAGAATTTTGAGCGTCAGGCATGCAGAGACCCAAGCTGAACCTTCACAAAATTTGAGGAATTCCCTGCTTCCACTGTATGAAGCAGTTACAGAAAGCCTACACATTAGAGCACACCACTCAACAGTAGAAGCGTTTCTGTTCCAGTAGGCAATTCACAGGGATCAGTTTTCATGAAAGATACTATGCAAAAATCTACGGCTGTGTTGGCAGAGAGATTTCACCAACACAGCTTGTGCACTCTTGACAATACAAATGTTTGGCAAGCATTCATTTCCAAAACATCTGTGAAAGGCTTCCTGCTGAGTACAAAGGGTACCTGATTAGATGCGATGTGACTAAACTTTAAGTCATATACACCACCTCACTCTTGTACATTTAATTCATACATTTTAGAGATTCATAAGAAGGAATAAGTGGAAACGCACTTTGCATCCATTTTTTACTTCTTGCTGATTTATTGAAATTGTCCTTCACAAAAGGACATTCCACCACAAACACTACAGCCAAGATAGACAATGAAAATCATTTATAAAAAAAATACAGACTAAAAGGCCACAAGGGATCAGCAATTAATCTCATTTGCTCTACATTAAGCAGGTTGTTCCACAAGTAATGCCTCCTATTTATTTCCATGGAAAGGACAATGGATAAAAAGGACAATGGATAAAAAGAACAATAATACTGTTTTCGAGAGCAAATCTCAGCTAACAAACACTATTTCTCAGCATAGTCACCACCATTACCTAGGCATTTTCACCAGTGATGAACAAGAGCCTCCTGCATGCCATGCTTGTAAAAATATGCATCAACAGAAGTAACCAAACACACCACCCATTGCCTCACTGTGCTCACATCCATTGTTTGGCCTCTGTAAACATTCAGCAAACATCAACAACTGTTAATGGATTTTTCCACACAGAGGAATTCTGTGACACATCTTAATTTCATATGCACTCCCATGACATTCTGTCAGAGTGTCTCTCTGCCACCATCTGTGACACAGCAAGAAAATGTAATGGAATACTGGTGGGAAGGTTCAGCCTCTACTGCCGTACCACCAACACCCACTTCTGAGGTTGTGAGCCAATGTAATAAAATAAAAGGCATTATTTTCAGAGCAGACCTCATACATTCCACTAGATTTTAGCCTCTTGCCTTCATATTGAGACCAGTAAATTCTCGGTGGCCGCTTATTACCCTCCAGAAGGCTTCTGCCTCATTTCAAGATATGAAGAATTGGACAGCCCACATTTTCCTAGCTAGTTTTTTTCTGATCAATCTTGTAGGAGTTAAAATAAATTTGGTCCTATCTGAACCTTCACTTGCAGTTTTTTGTTTTACTTTTTTTTTGTTTGTTTTACAACTTTCTCTACTTCATTACCTTTGCTACTCCTACCATCTTTAACTACTTGCTGTTCTACAAGAAGGCAAATATCCACTTAACCAGATTAAGGTTTCCCAATGTATAATCAAAAGTATTTTTGAGATCTCAAAAACTGAAGAGAGAAAACTGCAGAAGGGAAGGAAGCAGGGCTGTAAGCAGCAGGTCACGCCAGTGCCAAGCCTCTCTCATAAATGTTTACAATGCAAACTGAAGGCAACAAACATATCAAATATTTCAATGAAAGCTGATATTCTACATCAAATTTGAAAAGTGATTTGTAAGAATTCCCTCTGTCGGTGTAATGGTGCTAACTTCATTGAGTGGAAAAATTTAAGCTAGTAACGTTTCCCTTCAATAACCCCCAAATGCTTTGTCCTTTCACAGTCTATCAGATTATGTCTCAGGATACAAATGTGAATGTATTCTACTGTGGTTCTATTGTGTTCTGTTAGCATTGTATTTTTTTCTACACAACATTTGAAAACCATCTACCAAGAACAGATTGGTCATATCAGTATGTGTCCCTAAGGCTGTCATCTACTGCATTTCACGCATTTTACATCCTGAGAAGTACAGAATGATTTCCTAGGAAACTGGCTCTACATCTGAAAGATGTGGATTTTACAGCTGGTCCACTTGATGGGTAAGGAATTGGCTGGATGGTAGCATTCACAGTGTTTGCAGTCAATGGCTCAGCATCCAGGTGGACATCAGTGATCAGGACTGGGACAAGCACTAATTTTATCTTTGTTGTCATCAGACAGTAGGATTGAGTACTTTCAGCAAGTTTGTGACAACACCAAATTGAACCGTGCGGTCAACATGCTGAAGGGAAAGATGCCATTCAGACAGACCGCGACAAACTCGAGAAGTAGGGTCACGGAAATCTCCTGAAGTTCAACAAGGCCTCAGTGCAAGATCCTGCACTTGTGTCAGGTACTTTCTCAGCATGAGAAAGCAACGTATGCTTGCAGTCCAGAAGGCCATTTGAGTCCTGGGCTGCATGAAAAACAGCATGGCCAGCTGATCAGGAAGGTGATAATCCCCCTCTGCCCCACCTTCATGAGGCCTCACCTGCACTACTGTGCTCCTCCCCCCTCTACCCCCGCCCAAAAAAATATGGAGTTGTTGGAGCAAGTCCAGAGGAGAGTCATGAGGATGCTCAGAGGGCAGGAGGACCTCTCTCCTGTGAAGAGAGGCTCAGGGAACCTTTTCTCTCAGGAGAAGAGATGGCTGACTCCCAGTACCTAAAGGGGGCTTACAAGAAAGCTGAAGAAGGACTTTTTAAAGGAGCATGCTGTGATAGGAAAAGGGTTAAGGGCTTTAAAATAATAGAAGGAAGATTTAGATTAGAAATAGGAAAAAAATATCTTCACTATGAGAGAGGCAAGACACTGGAACAGGTTGTGCAGAGAAGTTGTGGATGTGCCATTCCTGGAGGTGCTCAAGGCTAGTGTGGGGGGCTTCAAGCAACCACATCTAGTAAAAGGTGGCTCATGATTTTACGGTCCCTTCAAGCCCAAATTATTCTGTGATTCTAATACGTTTCTCAGACACACAATTTAACCATAATTACCGAGCCACTTAAAACAAGTAATTGATTTGTAGACCCATACTGAGATATTGTTCTCTCTCTTCCTTTTAAAACAATAGATCTGTCTTGTAAGTCTACAGACAATAGATACACATAGCATTTTGAAAAACATGGGTGCAATATACTGTAGGTTAAGTACTATACTGCAGTACTGTATACTGCTATATTAACAGACATAGTTCAAGTTGGAAGATAAGAGCTATCAAAAATCCGGCAATTTGAAGTTCCAGTGTTAAACAGGTAGATTTCTACACATACAAATTTATTATGTTTGAACTTCAGCACATAAACTTATATTCACCTTTTTCTTTAGAGCATGAGAAAAACTTTCAAATTCAACTATTCTCCATTTTACGTCAAGAAATGACTCCCATGCAAATCGTACCTTAAATCTACTCGAGCTTCATTCCCTATAAAGTTGGAGATTGGCTTTACTGCACAATCTGATCATAAAACCTTGCACTTTCTTAGCACAAAATAACAACCAAAAAATATGAGTGGTCAGGAAAAGAAATAACTCAGGGAGAAGATCTGACATTGTGAAAATGGAATTCCTGCCATATAGGAGGCATTTGCAGTCTCAAGATCAAGTTCACAGTGGTCACTGTCAGGCCTTTTGGGCCAACAATACTGAGCTTGCATTTTCAAACTGTAGAACCAACTCCAAGATATGAGCTGAGAGCACAGAAAACTCTTTTCCTCAATATTTTCAGGAAACTAGCGTTGTCTGCCTTACTAGTGCAGAATTACTACCATTGAGGGCTGATTATATTAAAATAATTTATACTTTGAGACACTTCTAAAGTGTTACATTTTTCAGAATATACATATCCTATTCATATAATTTATTTCTAAATGCAACAAATTGGAAATAGAGAAACTCAAATAAGTCTAAAAAGAAAAGACAGGTCCTAACTAAATAAATTAGAAGTCTCAGTGAGAAAGCAACAAGGGAATCTCATTTCTCTTCTTCAGAAACAGAGACATCTGAGCCCAGGAATAAAACCTAATACAAAATCAGGAAATAAAATCATCTCTTGAGTCCCAGCCTGGTGCTGGATTACAGAAATACTTCTCTTTTCCTGCAGATTGTGGCAGGCTGTGAATAGTTAGCATTAGGAAGTACTGGACATCAAGATTAGTCCAGGAGAGAAAGCCAGAAAAAAAAAAAAAAACAAGCATTTCAGAAGCAAGAATTACCTTATCAGGAAAATGTACTGAATAATTCACCAGGATTTTTTTCTAGCTCTACTGCTCAGACCAACAATTTATAAAGGTACAGAATATTATCATGTTTTTTGGCTACATCAACTCTGTAGTAACTCAACAAATCAACATTACTTCTTGCAATTCTCTTAACCTGTCAATGGAGGAGCACCTCTTACTGAGGTCTCCCGAAGCTACAGCTATATTGCTATAAGACCAGTAAATAGGTTGCTCCATATTACCACTTACACTAGGCAAATGCAAAATCAAGCGTGCTAAATTTGCAGCACAGAGATAACAATGCAAACTTTGAGACCTACAACCTGAAGCAACAGCAACATAAAATTGCACTTATAAACACAAAT